CATAAAACTTTGTTGACAAGGATTTTAAAGTACATCCTATGTTAATGGAAGAGGCCCAGACCTGGAATGGCTCACAACCGAGCAGGAAAACTAAACTCTACAGTGTAGCGTTAAACAATTCCTGTGTAGTTGTGTCTATCAGTTGGAGGACACAGGTCAGTTGATCAATAAGAGGTGATATAGAAGCATAATCTATAGCAAGCTAGCTGAGGAAACTTGCAGCCACCCTGCTCCCTTTTCCCCCTCCCCCAGAGGGGGAGGGGTAATGGAGAGAAGAAGGAGGATTGGTCAAAAGCAAGAACAGTCCTGGGTGTGAAAGCCTAGTTGTATAAAATAAAGACTGAGACCCAACCTGGGATGGCCCCTGCCTAATTCTCTTCTCTCCGACATACAAGGTAAGAGGGAGGGGGGAGGTCTGGATTTCTTCCTATTGCGAAGGAGACACCTTTTTCCATCTCCCCACTCCCTTCTTAGAGCAAGAACCAAGGAGGTCAGGGTGAGAGTTTCCAGGTCGCAGGACTGCTGGAGTCCAGTGCAGCCCCCCTCCCCAGGGGTTCAGGCTTCACATTGGGAGTTGAAGTCAAAGCCCCAATAGTAACAGGTTTCTTTGCCTACCATATCTGCCAGACACAGAATTCCCCTGGAATTCCTGGGATTCTAAGGGGTTGATAGGTGACCAGGAATCTATGTTCCAACTACCTGGGTTTTCAACCAAAGAAGGGAGTAACCAAAGCTGTTCTTAGAAATGAAGGGCGGGGGGGGGTAATTTCAGACAGTGTGAGCAGTATTACAGGTGTAGGGTAATGAACAGGTGCACAAAGGTCTGTCTGAGGCCTACAATGGGGGCATTACAGTGTACCATGTGAGAAGGCTGGGCTTTCCCCATACAAACCCGATCACCTTGGCCCCATAATTAGTCCATTGTTAAGGTTTTCATTTAACTACATGCCAGGCATGGTGCCCGTGTCTTAACTCAAAATCTTGGGACACTGAGATAAACTCCTTGCCCAAGATCTCACTTAAACAAACACCAAACAAGTGGCAAATATGTTCCTTTTCACCAATTTTGCACCAAAAAGACAGATCTATTGACCTGGACTTACCAGGAGATGACCTGAAGGAGGTAGAACTAAAGCTGAGTCCCAAGAGACAAGGGAGCAGGGTCAGTGGAGAACAGCAAAGCTTAAGGTAGGGGCTCCAGGGTACCAGGAGCAAAAGATGGTCCAGTAAAAAGGACTATAGAGCAAAGCCCTGTGGTGGCAGTGTAGCATCCAGATACAGTGGTGAGCAAGCCAACACTGTCCTTAGAAGCAAGGCTTGGCCCTATACCATTGCCTGATATATATTTAAAGCTGGCTGTGATCCAGGTTCCTGGATCAAGTTCATCAAGGAACCAGTGTTGCTGAAGTGGGATTTATTGTTGCATTAGGGCTCAGCTCATTGTATTTCTGAGAAAAGATTCAGGGCAAAGAAACGTGGAGGAGGAATGCTTCCTTTCATTCTTTTTCATGTGTGTTTCGAGGGTTGCTGGGGATTTAACTCTGGATTTGCTACATGTTGGGCAAGTATTCTGAGTATTCTATACCACAAGCTCTTTAATTTGTGTTTATGTTTTCTTTTTAAGTTATGATTTTATTATCTTTAATTATACAAAATAGTTACAATTCAACCTGCTAGTTTCTGAGTACAATGCATCTTGATCAGTACCCCTTTCATCGTCCCCCTCCCATTTCAACCCCTGCCTTTTTGTGCTAGTACTGGGATTTTGTCCAGGCTGGCCTGAAACTTCCTATCTCAACCTTCCAAGTAGCTATGTAATACAAGCTACTAGTGGTACAAGTATGTACCACTATGGTTGGATAGGAAAACTTTTTATTAGTAGGACTGGGATTGAACACGGGGCGTTTATGCTTGCTAAGCAAGTTCTTTACCACTTATGCCATGCCTCCAGCATATGAATACTATTTAGTAATTCTTTTAAAAGCATTTGTAAGGCCCTTCAGCAGTCACACAATTGCTTTCCTATTTCATCAAAAGACGAGTGTTACATCTTCAGTTTTCCAGATGAAGAACTAAGATCTAGACTGTTAACTAAGTCATAAAAGGAGCTGGGACTCAATGCCCACTTGTTTGTGATTCAAGTTCTATTTCCTTTTTTATTCTTTGAACCATTGAAAAGTATATTATTACTATCCCAAACAGTCCAAACACAGAACTATACATTGAGTTTGTATAACATAGAGCTTGCTTTGTTGTCCCTTTTTTCCCAGGACACCAGCATTGAAGCAGGACTTCATGAAGAGTAAGGAGAAAGGGGGGGCGCTTTTCATATGGTGCTTAAGGTGGCAGTGACACACATACTTGGTTCTTCCACTTGTCCCAGTACCTCACTGTTACCCTTCTTCACTGAGCCACCTCTGTGCCACTTCAAGCCGACAATTGTATATAGCCTTCATCTATTTGGTATGTACTAGATCCCAGTTCAATTCAGTAATCCCTACTGTATGCAAATTACTCTGCCAGAAAGCATTGAGTACACACTTTGGGAAGAGTAGTCCTTCAATAACTCTTGACTGGCACAATTACAACAGCTAATGTACACTGAATACTATATGCCAAGTGCTATGCTAAATTTGTGGCACACATTATTTAGCTGCCTTCTTCCTCCTCCCTCTTCCCTTCCCTCCTCCTTTTTCTTGACTAGGAAGAGCCTTGAATTTCCTAGGCAAGCATTGTATTACTTGAGGCATGTCCCTCAGTCCTTGCTTTAGTTTATTTTTCAGATAGGATCTCACTGGCTCTCCAGCTTAATTTTTGAGATGGGGGGGGTCTCACTCTTTGTCCAGGTCCTTCTCCCACATAGCTGGAATCACAGGCATAAGCCACTGTACCTGACCCTCAGAAACTTTTTGTTGTTGTTGTTGTGGGGCTTGAACTCAGGGCCTGCGCTCTTTTGCTCAAGGCTAGCACTCTATCACTTTAAGCCACAGTGCCACTTCTGGTTTTCTGGTGGTTAGTTGGAGATAAGAGTCTCATGGACTTTCCTGCACAGGCTGGCTTTGAACCACAGTCCTCACATCATCCTCCTGCATAGCTAGGATTACAGATGTGAGCCACCAGCACCCAGCAAGAAACTCTTAAGCTAGATGTGGTTGCACATGCTTGTAGTCTGAGTATTTGAGAGGATTATGCAAGAAGCTCTCAAGTTGAAGGCCAACATGGGGCTACATAAGACACTGCCTCAAAAAAGTTATTTTAAAAACTTTGAAGAAGCAGGCATATGCTCAAATAGGCAGGTCGAAAATGGTGGAGATGGCATTTGAATCCAGGCAACCAGCATCTATCCGTGGTTTGTGTCATTCTCCCTCTAGGGCATAAGGGTGAACAGCAGAGATGCACCCTTGTGCTCAAGGTGCTTCCAGACTAGTAGGGAAGGTAGCCCAGGAATGACTAACAAAGTGCTTGGACTTTGAACACCACAAACCTTCCTTCAAGGATTGGCCTCTGCCAATGCAGCAAAGGATAGGAAACAGGGAAGTGGAGAAGTCAGTTGATGTGAGGAATAGCACCAGGAAAAGCTCTCAGGAAGAAGCTTGGTGGCAGGCTGTGATGTGGTGTTCAAAGGTTACTCCTGTCAGCACAAGAGGAGGAGGAGAGAGTAAGCAGAAGGCTACTTGATCTGAGCAGGATTCACCTAATGGCTTGGATTGGCCAGTTGATAAAGGAAATGGATATGTACAGGATGCTGAAATACTTGGAAATAACTGGGTTTAGAAATAACTGGGAAGAGCTGGAAAGGTGGCTTAGTGGTAGAGCACTTGCCTTGCATGCATGAGGCCCTGGGTTCGATTCCTCAGCGCCACATAAGCAAAAAGAAAAAAGCCAGAAGTGGTGCTGTGGCTCAAGTGATAGAGCGCTAGCTTTGAGCTGAAGAGCTGAGGGACAGCGCCCAGGCCCAGAGTTCAGGCCCCATGACTGGACCCAAAAGAAAAGAAAAGAAAAAGAAATAACTGGGAAATAACCAGGGTTTAGAAATGAAGGAAAGAAGAAGTCAATTAAGGATTCTGGCTTGAACAACATAGGATGGTGGCACTCTGGGGAAACTCTGGGAGCGGGGTGGAGAGTTTAGGTTGCAATAAAGGTGGCTATGGCCGGGCATTAGTGACTCACACCTGTGATCCTAGATACTCTGAGGATTGCGGTTTGACATCAGCCAGGCAGGAAAGTTCATGATACTTTTTATTTCCAATTAACTACCAAAAATCTGGATGTGGAGCTGCTCAAGTGGTAGAGTGCCCCCCTTGAGGAAAAACACACACACAAAAAAAAACTAAGAAACAGTACCCAGGTCCTGAGTTCAAGCCTCAGTACCGGCACAATTTAAAAGAAAAAGAAACTGGAGAGTCAAAAGTCACTTATTGTCACACCCACACTGAAGAGTGATAATCTACTAACCTTTCCTCCTGTCTTTCCTCCCTTCCTTCTTTGTAGTACTGTGTTGTTGTATATGTGTTTTAACTCAGGACCTCCTATTTGCTAGGCGGATGCTCCATCCACCACTTGAGCCACACCTTAACCCTTTCTTTTTATTTTTCAGCCAGTCTTGAGTTTTTGCCCTCCTACCTATGCCTCCCCAGTACTTGGGATTACATACAGTGTTTGCCAGCTCACAACTGGCTTGTTTTGTTGAGATGGGGGGGGGATCTTTGTTAGCCCTCCCACTCTTCTCTTCCACCCTCCCACCTCACCGGCCTCCCATCCTCATCTTCTTGCATCTCTTACTTCTGAGTAGCTGGAACTACAGCCACATACCCTGGACACCTGGGACCCTCCGTGTTTTCTTGAATTTGGAGTCCTTATGAGCAGAGTTAGAAAGGGCTGGGTTCTGAGAGGAATGGAATGGCGTTGGAGTGGCATGCCATTTGAGGCCAAAGACTTCTGGCTCACATCTGCCTCCATTTACCCACCACTTTCCCCCCCTCCCCCCCCTCCCACCCCAGATGGCTCTTCCCTGCCGCAGATCGGTGACTCCCAAGACTCTGGCCTTCCTTCTGGTGGGCGTGAGTTTCCTGGCCCTGCACCTGTGGCTCCTCGAGACCCCGAGGTCCCCGGAGGAGGAGGGGGGGGAGAGGCAGGGAAGGCTGGACGGGGAGGGGCACACCGAGGGTTTCGCCGCAGGACAGCCGGGGACGCCGCACCAGGGGCCACTATGCCTGGCCAACACCTCCGTGGCCAACAGCACGGCGGACTTCGAGCAGCTGCCCGCTCGGATCCAGGACTTCCTGCAGTACCGCCACTGCCGCCGCTTCCCGCTGCTCTGGGACTCGCCCACCAAGTGCGCGGGCCGCCGCGGGGTCTTCCTGCTGCTGGCCGTGAAGTCGGCGCCTGCGCACTACGAGCGGCGCGAGCTCATCCGGCGCACGTGGGGGCGGGAGCACGGCGGCGGCGGCGGCGGGCGGCTGGTGCGTCGCGTCTTCCTGCTGGGCACCCCGGCGCCTGAGGAGGCCGCGCAGGCGCCGCGGCTGGCCGAGTTGGTGGGGCTGGAAGCGCGCGAGCACGGCGACGTGCTGCAGTGGGCCTTCAGCGACACCTTCCTCAACCTGACGCTCAAGCACCTGCACCTGCTGGACTGGCTGCACGCCCGCTGCCCCGGCGCCAGCTTCCTGCTCAGCTGCGACGACGACGTCTTCGTGCACACGGCCAACGTGCTGCGCTTCCTGGAGGGCCAGGCCGCGGGTCGTCACCTCTTCACCGGGCAGCTCATGGCCGGCTCCGTGCCCATCCGGGACCGCCACAGCAAGTACTTCGTGCCCCCGCAGCTCTTCCCCGGCGAGGCCTACCCGGTGTACTGCAGCGGCGGCGGCTTCCTCCTGTCCCGCCACACGGCCCGAGCCCTGCGCGCCGCGGCCCGCCGCACCCCGCTCTTCCCCATCGACGACGCCTTCATGGGCATGTGTCTGCAGCGCGCCGGCCTGGAGCCCAGCGGCCACGAGGGCATCCGGCCCTTCGGGGTGCAGCTGCCGGGCGCCCAGCGGCCCTCCTTCGACCCCTGCGTGTATCGACAATTGCTGCTCGTGCACCGCTTTGCGCCCTACGAGATGCTGCTCATGTGGAAAGCGCTGCATGACCCGGCGCTGAGCTGCAGACGAGGACAAAGGGTACCCTAAGGACTCAGGGTTTGAGGGGAGGGTCAGTGCACAGAGCAGCGGCCTCAGCCCCCAGGGCCTCCCCACGGGATGCTTTCCATGCTGTGATGGTCGGATCCCACTGAGATGACCTTTGAGAGGAGGACTCTGGAAAATACTATAATCTATTTTCCTGCCCCGCCTCCCTCTCTCCCCCCCCTCCCTCATCCAGGACCTTATTGGTCAGGAGATCTGGCCCCAGCATAACTCTGATTATTTAAATCTCCCAAGGCTCACATGGTGGGAAAATTATGCACCCATCTCATTCAAGAAGATAGAAGCAAAAATCCTATAAAATGAGAATGGAGGTGGCTCATACATATAACCCTAGATACTTAGGATGCCGAGATCCAAATGATTGTGACTTGAGAGGAGTTCAGGAAAGAGAATATATAGCAAGGCCCCATCTCAACCAATTAAGATGGGTATAGTGGCACACTGGTTGGCTTAGCAACACAGAAGGCATAGAAGGATTTTGGCTTAAGACCCTATCTCAAAAATAACTAGAAAATGGCCACTTTTCTTTTTCTTCTTGAATCACAGACGGGGGGGGGACCCTATATAAAAATGCTAGAGGGGCTGTTCCGGGATTGTAGCTTAGTGGTAGAGTGTATGCCTAGTATGCATGAAGCCCTAGATTCAATTCCTCAGTACCACATAAACAGAAAAAGCCAGATGTGGCTCGCTCAAGTGGTAGAGTGCTAGCCTGGAGCACAAAGAGGCCACTAGACCAAAAAAAAATTAGAAACCTGGCATTGGTGCCCACACCTGTAATCCTAGTTGTAATCTTAGCTATTGAGGAGGCTGAGAACTGAGGATCACAGTTCAAAGCCAGCCAGGGCAAGAAAGTGTATGAGACCCTAAACCTCCAGTTAGCCACCAGAAAACCTGAAGTGGTGCTGTGGCTCAAAGTGCAAAAGCAAAGGAGCTCAGGGACAGCACCCAGGCCCCAAGTTCAAGCCCTACACTCCCCCTCCCTCCAAAAAATGCTAGAAGTATCTGGGTGTGGTGGAACTGAGAAATTCTCCAGCACCCAGGAGCATTATAGGAGCCAGAGAGAGGGAGAAGAAGGAGGAAGATACAGGGTAGAGAAAAGGGACAGAATTCCAGTAGACAAATGCAGTAATAGCAAAAAGGGATCAGACCTGGATGGGTTTGTACAGAAAAATCAGCTGAGTTTAACCTTAGAAAATCAGTCACAGGGTGAAGGGTATAGCTCTGGGGGTATAGCTCAACAGTAGAGTGCTGGCTTATCTAGTATGTATGTGGCAGGCTATGGGTCTGTCCCAGCACTCAATCAGAGAAAGAGAAATATGAGCATCTCAACCTGTGGAAAGCTTTTAATTAAAATTCACATCCAGGGGTGAGGATGTAGCTAGTGCTTGCTTAGTAAAATGGACAAAAAAAATCAACATCCATTAGTGCTTTTAAAGAAAATTTTAGAAGCGTAAACATTGTCTATAAAGTTAGGAACAAGACAAAATGTGCCCATTATCTAACACTGCTATTTAACTCTGTCCAAGACTCAAGGGCACCAGAAGACAAGGATAGAAAAAGACAGTGATGCTGTGTCTGGTGGCTCACATTTGTAATCAGATCTGGATGGTCCTGGTTTTGTAGCAAACCTGGACAGAATAGTTCATGAGACTCCCATCTCCAGTTAACAAGCAAAAGCTAAGCTGGAGTCATGGCTCAAGTGTTAAGAGAGTTGACTAAGCAAACTTAAGTGAGAGCATGAGGTCCTGAGTTCATGCCCTGTTAATGGCAAACAAAAAATGACAATAATTAGAAATAAACACATTTTCTTTAAAATCTTTGAAGTTTACAAGTTTATCAAATCTAGTTTTCCTTTTCTATAACAATGGTTAATATGTATTCTGCCCACATAGATATTTTTAAAAAGCAAGATAGCCCAGCACCCATGCCTCATGCCTGTAATCCTAGCTACATAGGAGGCTGAGATCTGAAGATCCATGGTTGAAGCCAGCCTAGGCAGGAAAGTGAAACTCTTAACACCAAGCCAGAGGTGGAGCTGTGGCCAAGTGGCAGAATGCTTGCCATGAACCCAGGCCATGAATTCAGGCCCCAGGACCAACACAAACACATGGGACAGTGATTTAGTTTTATTATGAAATACAAACAAAAGAAATGTTCATTAAAAATAATATGCATGCAGGGCGCTGGTGGCTCATACCTGTAATCCTAGCTACTCAGGAGGCTGAAATCTGAGGATCTGGGTCTAAAGCCAGCCTGGGCAGGAAAGTCTATGAGATTCTTATCTCCAATAAACCACCAGAAAACTAGAAGTGGTGCTGTAGCTCAAATGGTAGAGTGCTCGAGCTGAGGAACAGCAGCCAGGCCCAGAGTTCAAGCCCCATGACCGGGAAAAAAAGCCATTTTGATGTATAAATTCTTGGGTAAAACAACAAACCTCCCTATTTCCAAATCTCCCTCTAGAGGGCAGTATGCTGCCTTCAAAACTGCTACTCTATATAAATCTCTGCCCTCCACCAAACATACCACCCTTAACTTGTTAAATTAGTAAAAAAAAAAAAAAAAAAAAAATGTACTAAAATTTCCAGCCTGTAACTCTAGCAAAAACCTCCTGCCTCTTGAGTAGATGAAAAGTTATTTTTAAAAACTACCACTGTGAGCTGGTGGCTTATGCCTATAATCCTAGCTACTCTGGAGGCTGAGATCTAAGGATTGAGGTTCAAAGCCAGCAGGAAACTCCATGAGACTCTTATCTCCAATAAACTCAAGCCAGAATTAGCGCTGTGGCTCAAGTGCTAGGGCACTTGCCTTGAGCATAAGAAGCTCAGGGACAGCACTCAAACCCAGAGTTCAAGCCCCACACTGGAAAATACACACACACACACACACACACAAAACCATTACTTCTGGGCTGAAGGTGTGGCTCAAGTTAGAGCACCTGCCAAGCAATTATAAGGCTCTGAGTAAAAAGCCCAATATTATCAAGAAATAATTACATAAAAGGAAAAATGCCATTTCTCAAGAAATGTAAAGGCAGTTCAAACTGAATAAAAAAGATTTTCACAAAATAAAAAATGCAGGGATGGGAAGTTGGCTCAGTGGTAGAGCTCTTGCCTTGCATGCATGAGGCCCTGGGTTCGATTCCTCAGCACGGCATAAGCAAAAAGAAAAAACCCGGAAGTGACGCTGTGACTCAAGTGGTAGAGCGCTAGCCTTGAGCTGAAGAGCTGAGGGACAGCGCCCAGGCCCAGAGTTCACACCCCACGACCAGACCTCCCAAAAAATAAAATAAAAAATGCAGTATTTTTTTTATAAATTAATGCAAAGAAATACCATGTTATAAAGTTACACCTAAGCTTCTGACTTCCTTGGATTCTTTTTTTATTTGTTTATTTTTTGCCAGTCTTGGGGCTTGAACTCTGGGCCTGGGTGCTGTCCCTTAGCTCTCTAGCTCAAGGTTAACACTCTACCACTTGAGCCATTGTGCCACTTCTGGTTTTCTGGTAGTTTATTGGAGATAAGGATCTCATAGACTTTCCTGCCAGGATTGGCTTTGGACCGTGATTCTCAGACCTCAGCCTCCTGAGTAGCTAGGATTACAGGCATGAGCCACCAGCGCCCAGCTGGATTCTTAACTATCATCACCAAAAAAGAGAAAGACTATCATCCCTACTTGGCAGATGTGAAGACTGAGGCCAGTAGAATGACATATCCAAGGTCATTGTTGAGTCTGTTGGACCTGAAGGACTAGTTGCCAGACTTCCTGTCTGCTGTCCCTGGGCTCTGACTGCTGCCCAACCACCACACAATGTCCACTCCCTCCAAAGGCTGGAATTGCACAGGTCACAAGCCAGGCTTGCAGGCTTCTAAGAGGAGGAGGCAGATAGCAATTTGACTGTCTGTTATCCTCATGGGGTCAATTCCCGCAGCTGGCTTGGCCCTCCTTCTGCTCTACAGCTTCGGGAAAAGTGCCAGTCTCTCAGTGTTAAATCAACATTCTAACAATTTCTTCAGAGATGAGCCCTCTCCACTCTGGGACAGTCATTTACAGACTAATTCTGTCCTGGTGAGGGCTGCTCCTCCCCACAGCCTACCCCTGTTCGGCCTCTGAATGACAAACAGCTCCATTAATGCATTTTTCTCAACAGAAGAATGGTCTTTCCAGAAGATTAATCCTGATGCTCCCAAGAACAGAGAAATGACATCAGTTTTTAAATGCCATCCTGGAGCTTTACTCTTGCTCTCTACAATTTTAAGCATGAGGAAAGTATTGGATGTGGATTTGCACAAGGTCATAGGCTGCTAGGATTAGAGGAATTGGGGAGGAGGCAGGAAAGAGGGCAGGGGATAACAGGCAAGGGTGGCCAGGGCAGGCACTCACACCAAGAAGAAATAAGCGGAGGGTAATTACAAGGTAATTAGAGCTCAAAGAGGCTTGTGGCCTTGGTGGACTGGGGGCATGATGGAGAGGAAGGAGGTGATCAGAAAAGAGGGTGACTTAGGTTAAAGTGATCCTGCAGTTGGATGCCGTGAATCTTGGAGATGATCTGAGCATCCATGCTAGCGAAGAAGGAACCCTGGGAGCGTGTGGAACCCACAAGTCGCACATGAACTCTCTGAGATGCAGACAGATGCTTGGGTGCCAAGGCTTCTTCCAGCATTCCTCACCCAATCCCAGCTGAAATGGGGGTCCAAAGGGTCAGGTGTGAGACAGATACATCCCATACACACCAAGACCCTCCAGTTTACCAGAGTATCTGGCTTGTCAGCTTACTCAGCCACAGCTTCTGTCCCCAGGCACCAAGGGACACAGATCCACCTCTCCCTGGTTGCCTTCCAGAACTAAATACCTTAAGGCCTAAGATATAGCCAAGACCCCTTGAGCACCTTCAGCCCTAGGCCCCCACCCCATTCCCCTGTTCAGTGATGACTGACCTGGGAGCTGGCAGCGAACTGAGCTTCTCTTTCCCCACAGGCTGGAGTGAGGA